ACCAACCAGCAAGAGGGTACAGGCAGACAGCAACAGTGAGTGGGCCGAACCGGACAGTGACTGGCACTGCGGTTGCATGCCTTGCGCAGTCTATCACTGTCGTGAGATTGGTGTAGTGTGGCTTTCGTAGCCTGCAGAGTGTGAGAGTTATGTGGACATAAACAGAGATTAATGGCCAAACTTTGGGTGTTGTCTCACTTCAAGGAGTTCCAGCAACTGTGTCTGTGTGCCTCACAACAAGCACAGTACTTGTCGTACTGTGGCTTTCAAGCAGTGGGAGCCACCGTGTGCGTAAGGAATGAATTTAGTATGCTCACCAAGCAGGAACCGGCCGTCGCGTGGCAGCTGCCCTTGCTCGAGTTGGTTTCGGAGCCAGGAAAATTGGCACACGAAGGAGTCGTGCACCGACCCGGGATACCGTGGGTCGATGCACATTATCCGGCAGTCGGCGTCACACACCTGAAAGTGAGAGAGATATTGACATGTAATTACCTGAATCCCCAAGTAGTAGATTGTACTTATGATTCACAAAGCAGTCGCAATTTCAGAACCTTTTAAGTTATTTTGTCTGATATATGCATGTCAACACACCTTCCTGGATGCAAGGTGCAACTAACTACCTTAAAACGAGAGTAATGTTTTTTTTTTTTTAAGGAAGCTTTAGCAGTAAAGTATTATTTTTGGGTGAAGCGTCTCACGGCTCACATGCTACGTAGAGCACACGCTCGCGCAGTCGTGAAACCCCACAGCCCGCAGTCATAAAACGGCATGCTTGAACCGTATCGGCAATACGTATTTTTTTTCTATCGATTTGGGGCGCGTTTTGACAACGTAACATGAGTGTACTTACCACCATCACGTTGAGGGTGTAGAAGTACTTGCGGCACCAGTACGCCGCCTTCGTGACGGTGGGGTCGTTCTTGGACGGGCCGACGATGGAGACCATGGTCCCGTCCACGCAACCGATGACGCCGGGTATCCTGCCAAGCAGCCTGAAGCCCTTCTCCGCGTCGAACCTCTCGCTCGGCGTCTCGGGGAAGTGGATCCAGCCACGCTGGACCCCGAGACGACGCACGATAGCGACGGACACGGCGCAAACCGCAACGCTGACTGTCTTTTGGTCCCGCGCTACGTGTTCGTCGCTCGCCACCATGCCTTGGAAGCTCCCCGTGCCGTAGAAGCGCAGTGCACCCAACAGTTGAAGCTCCACAGTCATGACCGTCCACGAGGTACACACTCTCCTCACCTCCGGTTCCTCGCGAAGTTCGTCGCACAACCACCGCACCACGATCTTGGGCAGGTGGTATGGCTTCCGAAAGATCTCCTCCTGGAGCTCGAATGCATCGCGGTGTTCCCGATACAGCCTTTCCGGCGAAAAAAAAAGCTCTATTAAAGAAAAAGTCGAATTGACGAGACGGCGAAGCCTCGCCGCCGAAAAGATGCTGCTAATGACACCTAGTTCCGAGCAAGTACCTTTTGAAACGTACTCGGTACAAAACGAAACGTCATTTTGTTGTCACGTCCGGTAGCCGACTCCGCCCAGTCTTGCCGACTCCGCCCACATTTTTCTAGGGAAATTACGTCACTTTTGCTTCGAACCAATCAGACGTGATGACGTCACTTCCGTGTAGTAAAAAAAGGTACATGTACAATGTCGAACCTAGCTATCCTGAGCTGCTATTCTGGTCACAAACGGGTACCTTTCGAGTTTTGACGTATCGAGAAAGAAGGGTGGAGCCTCAAACTAGAACGATTCTTGTTTGAGGCTCCGCCCCAACGTTCGGGTTCACGCACGTGGTCAGCTAGAGTCTGACGATCCCCCTACGTCGCGATGACGTGTCCACCCAGTTGGGGCGAAGAAATCCCCGGATTTCCCCCTGTTCTTTTTGTTATCTTCTTCCTTTCCTCCGAGAGTTAGAATGAGTGAATAACAGAAAAAAGGCTACCGGAAGGTAGCCTTTTTTCTGTTATTCGCTCATTCTAACGCTAAACGTTCTAACGTTTAGCGTTAGAATACGTAATGGAAGGGCGGGATACATCAGGAACATTTTAGTGGCTGTTTTCGGTGCCCTTGAGGTTCTCCAGTAGCTTGCTGTACGGCTTGTGCCGCATTCCTGCCGGCTGGCGGTCTTGGACTTCTTCGAAGGGAGCGCTCGTCGGAAGAGGAACTTTTGGTCGGGCGGGAGGTTGAAGTTCCTTCTGATTAATCAGATGGTCTCGACGTCTCAGAGGCCGGTGGGATAAGTGTGGGTTCTGCGTCCGCCTCGTCATGCTCATCGTCGCACTCTGTAACTGGTGCCACTAAATAAGCTACGCTTCAGAGTAACGACACTTGGCCATATTGTGTCTTAGAATCATGGTTGCCAGTTATCTGAAGCTTCATCTGAAATCACAGTAAACGCTTTTCCGCTATCCACAAATGTTCAAACAGTTCGCGACAGAGCAAAACAATATTACATGAGCTTCCTAACACCGAATCTAATGCTGAGTAAGTCGCACTTTTGAATCATGACGATCGGCAGTTGCGTCTGCTCTGCATACGAACCAAAATGGCGGCGCACACAACAATGTCAGGGAGCGGAGTGCCGATACTCTAAGCGCAGCTCATTTAGTGGCTCTCTCGGTAACCACTTCGCCGACAATCGTTGACTCTGGTGATGAGGATGACGCGCCGTCCTCGTCAGGCAGTGGTGGCTCTGAGAGACCCCCAGGGTCATCGTTATATTCGTTGATGGCAGGTGCTGCTCTTGAGTGCTCCTGTTCCACGAACTTTTCGGTCGTTGATGCGAGTTGTGTGTGCCCCGAGGCGTCGAGTACCTCCGTGACATCCATAAGCAGCTAGCTTTGTTCTTCAGTTTCTTGGGTTCTTGATCCAAGGAGTTTACTTGTCTCCACTGTGACACACGTATCAATCGTGTTCCCGTACCTTTCACATTTAGTGGAGCGGGGGGTCTTGCACAGTCTAAAAAAAAAAATGAAGGAAAAAAGTAGCAACGGCGCGTCTTCCTCCCTTCTACTGACGCGCCCCCAAGCGGACACGAGAAAAGGGGAGGAACGAAGCGTTTTTCTCCTTCTTCAGGCGGACGGTAGAAAGCTATCGCCCTCCCGACTCATCTTCTTTCGGTTTCGCTTTTCGAGCAGGTCGCGCACGTTGTTTAATAAATGCTGTTGAGTTGATTGAGCTTCACCGGCAGCGAAGGCCGCCTGTAATTCCGTCTTCTAGTCTAAACGTGCAGAACATTTCGGTTGCATTCACGTTTTTAGCGCTAATTTTAACAAACGAGCAAACGAAGTCGCTAGAAACAGCGAAGTTCCGGAGCAGTGCCAGCAGCGCAATGTACACTGGGGGATGGCCGTCTCCGGATTGCGGGACTCGCGCGGCACGGAACTACAGTAGCAAAACCGGCGAAACCACGCGGAACTTTGTCGACGTTTTCGACGTTATGGAAACCGCAGGAACTGCGTCCAAGACAGGCAGGTTTCGCTGCCGGCTGCCTGGGTGCCTTCTGTGCTGAGTTCGGTTCTGTTTTCCGATGCCGAGTGCAACCGGCGTTCAACGTGGTTGTGTGTTTGTGCCTGTCAGAAACATAGCTGCAACATCGTGATGGCAGTGTTGTAGGTTAAGAACAAAAGACTAAATTATCGCCGATGTGACCGTGTGTTCGCGTATCAGTGGTGTAACAAGAAGATGAGATGGTAAACTGTCGGGCATTGATGCCGCTGGTCGGGCCGTGATCGGAGGGGGCGGGGTGTCGCAGGTTGACATTCCGCTTTACATTAAAAAGTTTAATACCACTTGAGGGATTACGTGCAATCGATCAACGTGCCTATAGTCATGTTGGAACACTGGTCCGAACAGTGTAAGCTCCTATCGTACAGTGACCAATTTGACTGTCGGAATTGTCTCGTCCCCGATAAAGCCCCTTGATAAAAGCGTTTTTTTACAAGTACCGCCAACCATTGTTGTGGAAGCGCGCGAGACACGTGCCATGAGCGGGTGCTCCGCCGCCATTCGCTTCAAAGGCCCGCTCATTTCGGTGCTGCGCCGCCATTTGCTTCCAAGGGCCACTCGAGACATGGGCCTCGTGCACTCGCGCATTTGAAGCTACTTGCAAGACAAACGCAAACACATCGAGGGGCTTTAGTCCCCGATAGCGATTGCGCTATGGGGAAAGGACAGCAGTACGAAATCGTGACGAAAAAACGTATATTTACAGTTTAGAATTTTTGAATTAAAAAAACAATAGTAGCTAAATCGAAAAAGAAGCTACCCTTTATTTTGCTGTTTAAATATGCTACGGTTCCTGGAGAGACTGCCCTCCACGTGGCGCACTGGGATGAGCGCTAGAAGTTTTCGGGATCGCCACGGCGTAGCTCCGTACACTTAACACCTGCCGCAAGTCGCGGCTTTGACTGCATTCAAGTTGATCGAAAAGCAGTTTCTCAGCCCATGAAGCATCACTTCCAGCTGAGGGAATATCCGCTATACAGAGATTAATTCAAGACGGCAATGGCAGCTTTGCGCGAACAGCACAAGTAGAAAAACAAACATTACAAGTACAGGCTACGACGTGCCGTGCGGGGAAACAAACTTATGGCTTCGAACCGCATTGGAGCAGCTTAATTTATTGGCTTTCACATAACTACGTCATGATCGAGCGTTTTCTTTTTAATAAGAGATTCATCCCCTGAGCCATTAAAAATACTCTTAGAGGTATGACATTGCTAGAAAAAAAATCAACATGCTGGGAATATTTTCTATTGCTTATTCAGTCACCGAGAAATTCCGTCCGTTCAAAACGACCAGTATAAAAGACGGAAACGCAGATCTTGGGTGTAGTGTTCGGGGTAGTGTGGTGTTCAGTTATATTGATAATTGTGTGTGCCGTGTATGTGCTCAATGTATGTTCACCTGATGCTTCTAATAAACGTATAGTAGAGGATCCCCAAGCCCAATTCGCGATTTTCACGAACTAAAGGGGGCGCCACCGTCGTTCAACATGGCGGATGAGAGTAGGTCGTATTCCTCGTTGAGTATGAAAACAATCTTAGACTTCTTGGATTGCACGGTCGAATCACGTTGCTACGTGGAAGCAGAACGTTTATTAGATGCCAAACACCTTGTTCTCGTCGGGGCCAAGCAGCGCAAGGGCAGCGATCTGAAAATTGTGAGCCTTTGCCAGCAAACATCGGGACTCCAAGCCCACCCGCACGTAATCTCGACGCAGTTTGCGAACGTACGCGGCGACATTCAGATAGTCGAGAGCGAGTGTACCTGTAAGGCAGGGAAATCGGAGAAGTGCAAGCACTCGTCCGCTACGCTAATCCACTGCTACAGGTGAGTGGCCAGAACCTGGCACACTTTGTCGCGCGGTCTACAGCAAGAGTGCCGCTTGTCAGTTTGTAACAGTTATGACTTTTCATGTTCCTTTTTCCTTGCGTATCAATAAATAAAACATGGTGCAACTCATTTAGACCTGCCGTTTGCTGAATTCTTTAAGCTGTATTTGTGTGCAGCGCTGAAACTAAATTATAAGTGCGCATAAACGGTTTCCGTAATTCGCAGGCGAGCGATAAGACAAGCGACGGTGATTTCTCACCGTCGCCCGTTGCGTCACTCGGTTTTTGGATTTCTAGAAAACGTCGTCATCGCCTTGGTCACTCGCATGTAAGCGATTTGGCGAGCGACGAGTTAAGCGACGGCGACCCGCTTCGCTGTCCCACGGTAACTCGCGCGACGAAGAAAACCGCATGAAAGCGACGGGAGCAACCGACCAAGGCGATGAGCGACGCGACGAACGGCAGTGAGAGGTCCCCGTCGCTCGTCGCTGACTCTCGTCGCTGTCGCCGTCACTCGTCTCATCGCTTGCAAAATCGTTCGGCCCTCGCTTTCAAGCGGTTTGCCTCGTCGCGCGACTGACCGAGCCCCGCCAAATTGCTTAGATGCGGTTAATTAGTCGCGCTCCCACAACGGTGCCTTTGTTTAAGCTATTATTATCTGATACTATAGTGTAATGTTAAATAGTTACCACTAAAAAGTGTGGCAACTGAGAGAGAAAAAATGTCAGTGTCAAACGCTTCTGAGGCGTTTTACCCGTAGACAAGTCGGCCTGTACCAAAAGCACGGGGCGTCTCAGCTGGCATGCTCGCCAAAAAGTAGGCCGTTCTTTTGTTGCACACACATCAAACGCTCATTCACAGAGTAGCATTTGACTAGACTTGGCTGCGTTGAGGGAAATTATGTAGGGTTACGAAGGCGAGTCAACGGGACACCCGTGCCTCATATGAAGCGTGGCAACCAATTCTGGGGTAGATTGGCAGGCAGCATACCAAGTAAGCATGTCCTGGTGATTTGCGTCCTTAACTCGTCGTGCCCTAGTCAAACACAACTGTGTAAATGGACCTTTAACACTCCATTCGTACACAAAGAAATCTTTTTATACCAATTCTCATGACAAGAAAACCTAGAAGGAAACTCAAAGAACAACTTAGTTATGTGACTCATCCTGTGAAATGCCTGCTTTCCTTTCATTAAACTATTTTGAGCGCTAGCATGCAGCTCCATTACCCCTTCATCAAAAGATACCAACATTGTACTTCCAGGGCCAGCCTTGCATCACTGGATGTTCTGAGCTGCACCGATATTGAGTGTGAATGGTCCGCCAAGAAGAAAGGTGTGCAGCATATGTATGAGGCGGTGGCACTGTCGAAGTTTTGCCATGTGAGCATGGAACCCCCAGTCGTGGTAACTGCTCATGAGCAGGGCGTCATGGCAGAGCTGCTGCTACAGGCAGCACCACAATCGGCAATTGCACAACAGAGGTGAGACAATTCCTTGATCTGAAGAGCTTGCATGAACAAAGGTGCATTACCCTTTCTGTAATTCTTTCTGTCTTTCTGTAATTGGGGTGATCAAGCAATCGAGACGTTTGCTCTCCCAACCTATCTGGCAAACCAATTGTTGGATGGCAACGGATATCAGCAGACAAAACATGTTTTTCTCCTCGGCTACCTGGACACGAGAGCAGAAATGTGTCAGATCGCAGTCCACTAAGCGGAGTCATCAGATCAGCCCTGCATTCAAACAGTGTTGAACCTCAAATAGCTTTAGCTTGTATTGGCCCCCAAGGAGGAGGCTAAACTGAGTGTAACTCGTTCTCCACCTTTAAAGGGAAGATCCACATAGTAAATACGCACATGGCCCCATGACTAAACAATTGACCTAAACGTAAGCACACGAGTCTTGTACATCAAACGTTTAAGAAATGCTGTGTTCGAGCTAATTCGTATCCTCAATTAGGTACACAATTTAGCTTCTGTAGACCACAAGTACCTCGTCGTCATCAAGAACAGAAAATACCTCAAGCTCTTTGTTACTGTGCAGAATAAGCATTGCACATAAACTTTGAGAAATACCACCGTAAGCAGAGGTAGGCAGAGTGAGTCTGCTGATGCATGAATACTGAACTAACCTCAGATCCGGTGCAAGGTGCCCCAGAACTGGGGCTGAACTTGTGCATCACTGGGATGAATCGAACACGCCAGTCGAGCGGCCATGCAACTTCCAGTGGAATTGGATGCACTGGTTTCCGTAGTGCGTGATCTAGTTCAGTCAGTTCAGGCGAATCAAGTCGATACATTATTTCATATCTGTCTATCTCTGTTTGTTGTTTTTCAAAAATTCTTCTGTTTCCTTTAGGAAACGAAAACAAAAACCAAGGGCCCCGAACTCTGCTCTGGATGTCACACCTTGTAAGCGATTTTTCATGTATTCGTACAATGCAACAGTGTTCCCTGCATTCTCCGAGTACTTTCTGGCAAACGGTACTTGCTAATGCCAGAGGAGCATCAGTCTTCTGAAGTGTGAGTGTACCTTCCATGGGCTCTTGCAGACATGTTCTGGTGTTCGTGTACGTGTTCCCACACTCGTGTGTTTAGATTCACGCACCCAGCGTGACAACCCAGATGCTGCGCCTTGGGGTGCACCAAGCAGTTCTCCGTTATGCGCAGCAAAAGTAAGGGCGGACTGGTTTCGGACGCTGGGACCCAGCGTCTGAAACCTGACGCCGTTTACGCCGTTTCCTCGAGCATTGTCCGCCAAAACCGGAGTAAAGGCTGACACTTCGAGCTGGAAGCAGTCTCCTCGGCTGCCGGAATTCTATTTCAGTATTCCGCTCATACTAGCTAGCCCCACCTGATTTTTCCGGCTTTAGCCTACGCGGCGATCTCACACAGAATGTGTGATGTATATCCACAACGCATGACGCTGTTCGAGCTCTCGAGCGTCCAGTTCGACATCAACCCCCTTCAGGGTCCGTGGGAAAGTGCACATTCCCGATTCGCAGGACTGAACTGAACTTTACCCAGAACACCTGACCGGGGTACAAGGGATAATCTCGTCATCAGAACCTCTCCACACACGCCACCTAATGGACGCAAGAAGCCTGATCATGTAATCGAAGTTATTCTAGTTATCTAAACATTATTTCATTTTCTTCACAAACCAATGTTGCATTACTAATTAATAAAACGTCAGCACCCGACCATTGCTGACATGGTGCAGTCAACAGGACTTGCAGAATTAAACGAAACTGGTGTCGATGCCCTGATCATGGACTCCAACAACGGAAAGAATGTTACCAATCAGGATACGATAGGTCAGAAAATACAAGACATCACAATTTAACTCCAGCAGTTAATTCTGGCCTTAAACAATGCATTTCCTACACGGCAACCTGAAAACTGCATGAACGTGACGAACGGAAATGAACCAGAATGACAAGTAACTTCTACGAATGCTTCTACACTGGGCGCGACAACACAGGTGAGCTGGAATGCAACAACAGTCGATTTGCTGTCAATCACCGTCCCGATTCCCAACGCAACAAACTGGCCGAGATCCTACGACAGTCCCCAGGACCTCTCCACGTCCACTCCACGAGCGACACTTCGCACGCGATTCCTACATTCGAAGGGGAGTCATGAAAACGTCGCTGAGTGGCTCCGAGAGATTGAACGGGTGGCTTTCTTCGCAAATTGGACACAATGCCTCGCCCTGCTCAATGCTGTCACCCGACTTCACGATGCTGCACGAGACTCGCACAGGTCCTATGGTTCCCCGATCGACGACTGGAAAGTGTAGAAGGAAGCCATCAAGAAACGCTTCTAACAAAAAATAGGACTTCAAGAATTTCTGGGGTACCAGCAACATCGACAGCTTCGCTGCAACAAGAGAATTGTGCAGTACATTACGCGAAAAATGACATGCTCGAGTGAGCTTTTTGTGAGCTAGGAGCCAGCGAACGGATCTCCCTGGTCTTAATCGGAATCACCGAAGAGAAGTGGGTTAATCCCCTGGCAGCCCGAGGCTGTAAGTCAGTCCTCAAGCTTATTGATTGCTCGACGACTCTCGACCATCCAGAGAAAAGACGCAACCATGCAAACAAGGTACGCACTAACCTACAACATCAGCACAGCAAACAAGCACTCCGACGAACACCCCATCACCGAGTCCCTCCAAACGCACAAGGCGGAGCAAGTGTTTTAATTGCGACCAGCTCAGTCACCTCTCCAGAAACTATCCAGGACCGAAAACTACAGCGATCATCCGTGCAGAGGAGAAACGTATGCAAAAGGGCACAAGTTCAAGTGAGAATAATATCCACTGCTTGTTACGCACAAAAGGAGGTTCCCTCCTTATCGTCACCGCTTTCACGGAGAGGAATCGTCCTCTAAAGGCGTGCATCGACACTGCGGCCAACCTATCGGAACATCGACCCCAGGGCACTACCCGAGGACAAATGCGTGTCGCTATGATCCCCAGAAAAATCTTTCAACGTTTCGGACAAGGTGATGCCTGAAGATCAGCGTCAAATCAACGACAGTCAATTTACCGGAAATACTCATTCTTCCGCCCCCCATATCAATTGGCCTACTTCTCGGATCGGATTGGCGCCAACTTGCTAACGTAGAAGTCATGTTTCGGGTTTCGAACAGCATAACCATTGGTCAACTACCCCAATGGCACAATTTGCCCGCAGTGTTTCCGAAAGCAACAATCTCCGGAGAAGCACTATTATCAACCTTTCACGAGGAGCTGCCTGAAGCCAAATGTCTGGCCATGTTAGTGAAATCGGAGCCAGCATGAAACGACATCAAACAGTCCCAATGCAGCGAATCCACGCAGTTGTGGACAGCATTACCCAAGACGTTTCAACGGAAGAACGCCAAAAGCTCTTCGCAATACTCACAAAACACCACGCCGCGTTCACGACAAAGGAGAAACAACTGGGCTCTGCCCACACGTCGAGCATTCCATCGAGCTACATGACGAAATCCCCGTGGCGCCGCAGCCCAATCGATGTTTCCCAGCTGACTGGGAATTCATCAAAAGACAGGGCGAAGATTACTGGAACGTGGAATTGTTCGCAAAAGCAGAAGCGAGTATGCTCCACCGACGCTTGTGGTCATCCAGCTCAATCATTCCTCGACTCCCAGACAGATGGTTCACGACTACTGCTTATTGAATGCCAAGACAGTCAACCCACTGTATCCAAGCCTCGAATGGACGATGCACCCAACAGTGTAATGAGAGACGGCTCACGCTACTTCACTGTTATGGACGTCAAGACCGCTATCCTAACCATCCGAGCGAAACCTGAAGATGTCCACAAAACATCCTTTGTCACTCCAGATGGAAAGTATCAGCATCTCCGCATTGCCTTTGTTCTGTAAAGCACCCTAAACCATGCAAATGATTGTGCGAAGGACTTTCCCGAACGGCAACACGCATGGTTGACATTGGTCAAGGTGCGACAACCGTAGTTGAGGCTCTCAAAATTTTGGACGAAGCCCTACGATGCGTCTTTGTTAACGGACTCCGCATGGACATCATGGAGTGCCAGTTTATCCGAACAAGCTTTCAATTTCTTGGGAATTTGATCATTGTAGAAGGAAAAATACCCGACCCTCAGCGCGGCACTTCGGTTAACAAGTTCCAGCTGGAGAAAGATGCAAAACACCTTCACTCGTTCCTACAATTCCCTAATCACTTTCGAAAGTTCTCCCGGGCTTCGCAAAACAATCATTGCCGTTGTGTAACCTACTGCTGAATGACACGCATTTTGAGTGGTCCGACTAACATAAAAGGAGACTATTTGAAGCATCGTTTGAAAAATCCGCCAGTCCTGGCCACCTTTCGCAGTGAGTGCCCCATCCCAGTTTACACAAACGTGAAACAAACAGGCTTTGGAGCGATCCTAATGCAGATACTTGACTCGTGTGACAAGATAATTGAATACGCAAGCGGATCGTTGAACGCATACGACAGCACCCTGCACATCAACCTTCTGAAGTGCATTGGACATTGGACAATCACTGAAAAGTTTGCACTATACTTGCGCAGAGGACCACGATTCACTGTCATTACGGACAGCATGTGCCTCACATACCTCGTGAAGAACAGCCTGACTGAGTGAAGATTTGCACAATGGATCCTTAATCTCTCGGACTATGAGTTTGAAATTGTACACCGATTGAGTAAAGCAAACAAAGCGGGCGTCCGATGCCCCCACGGGCGACAAAGAAAGTTGTGCAGCAGTCATCAACATCGAGGACGACACCGCAGGTCAGCAACAGTCAAGGAACCTATGGCCTACCTTGCAGATTACGTGTATGCGCGATTTGAAGACAAATCAGTTTTAAACCGGGGTGTGTTAGCTAGCCCTGCTTGTTTTGTCCAGGCGGTGATCTTACACAGGATGTGTAACGTATATCCACAACGGATGATGCTTTTCAAGCCCTGAGTATCAAGTTCGACTTCAACCC